TTAACATTATTGCTCAATTTAATAGATTTGATGACAGCAAAAGTTGTATTGTTTTAGTTTCTTGTTTACGTGGACAAGCTCGAACCGTATTAGATAGTTTCGAACATGACTGTGTAAATTTTGTAGATTTATGCTCAAAATTAGACCTTCGTTTTGGCAATAGTTTTCAAGCATTAAATAGTTTTTCGTTATTTCAAAATAGACATCAGCAAACGAATGAGGATTTCGCTGTATTGGCTATGGATTTGGAAAGATTAGCCAGATCAGTATTTGCTCATTCTCCACCGGAAGAGCAGGATAAGATTGCTTGTTCGCAATTTATCCTTGCTCTGTTTGATAATTCTATTCGCGAACAGTTACTATTAGGACATATAGTATCTTTAAAAAATGCTGTCGCTCGTGCTTTTGAGATAAAAGCTATTAGAGAACAAAATTGTAGATTGACCCCACAGGTTCCACCATTGCTTGGTTTTGCTCCTGCTATCCCGACTGCGACTGTCCAAAATTTTTATCAACTACAAAAATCTCTTCCCGGTAACCAACATACCCCCACTAAGAAGTTCACTGACCCCAGGCGTTGTTGAGAGTGTGGTTCCACTAATCATATCCGCGTTAATTGCTCTAAGTTTAATAAGAAAGAGAAATTAGAATTTGTCAAACTTTCTGGGGCAAATTTGACAAATCGCAATAAAGCCCCATTGCAACCAAGTAACCCTAATTCTCTTCATTTCGGAGGCATTTCAAGGAATCCAACAATTTTTTATTTTTCTGGTAAAGTTAATGGAATTTCATGCACATTTAGAATCGATTCCGGCTCTGATGTTTCAATTTTAAATTTTAAATTGTTTGATCCCAGTAAAGAAAGAATTCCTTATGATTCTTCTAACCTTAAATACCCTACAGGCGAAAATGTTCCTGTATATTTTAAGACGCCTGTTAATGTAGAATTAGGAAGACACCATTTGAATTTAATTATCTATGTCGCTGACATAGGAGATGATTGCATTTTAAGGTTAGATTTGCTTGATGCTGCAGGCATTACTTCCTACTTGTATATAGAAACAGGCCTTTTTAGTAATTTCCCAGTTTCTGAGCAACGAACTTGTGGTTGTATTACTTCCTCTTCTTCTTCTTCCTTTGAAATTCCTGAATATTTACAAGACTTATATGAGAGAAGTTGTATTGAATTGAATATTTCTCAGAAAGAGAAGTTCAAATAGTTCCTTAGTTAACATAAGTCGTCTTTTACGGATGGATTGGTAAATATTGGTGCTTGTAACAAGATCGAACATAAGATAGAGCTTTCTAACCCCCGTCCCATTAAACAACCTCTTCGTAGATCCCCTTTTTACTACAATGCAGAAATCCAAAAAATTATTTTGGCAAAAGCATGGAGCTATTAAAAAATCTAAAAGTTCTTGGTGTTCCCCTGTAGTTATAAAAAAAAAGATGGCACATCACGGTTTTGTGTAGACTTTAGAAAATTGAATGCTGTTACAATTAAAGATTCTTTTCCTTTGCCAAATATTTCAGAAATTCTAGATGATCTAATAGGGTATTCTTCGTTTTCAACATTAGATTTAAAGTTAGGATATTGGCAAATTAAACTCAGTTCACAGGATAAAAAAAACAGCATTTTCTGTAGGTAATGGTCTTTGGGAGTTTGAGGTTATGGCTTTCCGTTGTGCAATGCTCCAGCTACCTTCGAAAGGTCAATTGAGGATATTCTTCAAGATTTGATCCACAAAATTTGTCTAGTTTATCTAGACGATATTATGGTTAAGGCTAAGAGCTTCGAAAAAATGTTAGATAATTTAGATAAGGTTTTCTCTCGTTTAGATAAGGCGAATATAAAACTTAACCCGAAAAAGTGCGAACTTTTTAAGAGGCAGACAGAGTACCTAGGTCATATTATATCTCAGGAGGGTATAAGTATGGACCCCAAGAAGGTTTCTGCTGTCTTAGAATGGCCAATTGCCAGACAAAGAAACAGATTAGAAGTTTTATTGGATTCGCTTCATATTCAAGAAGATTTGTCCTAAAGTTTTCTGACATAGGCAAACCTCTTTATAAGTTAACTGAGAAAAATATTCCATTTGTTTGGACTTTAGAATGTTAGAAAGCTTTTGATAAGTTAAAGCAGGTCTTGACATCTCCTCCTATTTTAACATATCCAGATAAAGATGGCGAATTTATCTTAGATATTGATGCATCAGGATATGGGATTGATGCTGTTCTTTTACAAATTCAGAATGGTGCAGAACGAACAATTGTGTATTATAGTAGGGTTTTATCCAAGGCTGGGGGCAATTACTGCGTCACTAGAAGAGAACTTTTAGCGGTTATAGATTCTTCTGAATATTTCTCCCATTATCTTATTGGTAAGAAATTTTCAATTCGTACAGATCATTCAGCTCTTAAATAGCTAATCTCTTTCCGGAACTTAGATGGTTAGTTAGCTAGGTGGTTAGGAAAATTAAGTAAATTTAATTTTGAGGTTATTCATAGGAAAGGATCTTCTCATAGTAATGCAGATGGACTTTCACGTCGTCCCTGCGATGAATCTTTTTGTAGATATTGCTCAAAAATTGAAAACAACTATGCTGTTGAAGAGGTAGTCAGTCGAATCTGTCTTCTTGAAAATAATCCTATTGATTGGAAAATAGAACAAGGAAAAGATGAGAACATTAGTGTCCTACTTAAATTTAAAAGAGAAAATAAACGGCCTGATAGACGTATTGTTTCTTCAAAAAGTCCTTCGTTTAAATTTTATATTCTTCAATGGGATGCTCTCTTTGTTCGTAATGATCTTCTTTTAAGACGTTGGAAATCACATGATTTGAAAACATGTATGTTGCAATTAATTGTTCCATCTCTGGATTCTACAGTACAAGTTTTAGGACGAGTCAACTTTCAGGTAAATCTATTTTTATTAATCGTTACTTTTTGTAGCCGGCGCCGTAGTTTGATTGCCAGCCTGCTCTTGCTTAGTCTCGTACCCGTAGTAAAGCACTTACACGTTGACCGAAAAGAGACAGTCGCGGTTGACTAAGTATATTGTCAATCCGCGGCCGTTGCGAGAGACGTAACATAATAATGAATTAGTTTGGAAACTGATAAAATTTTCGACATAACTATACATGAAAACTAATTCTCTGCGTAATAAGTTATGTACACCCAACGTGGATTGAATCGCGACCCCCCCAGTTAGGTTGGTATGAGAATTCCGTCGTTGCATCAGAACGAAGAAACCGCGGGAAAATTCAAAAATGAAAATTCGTTTTAAGATACGATAAAAAGCTAAAACGTTACCAATTTGTTTTTAGGTTTAAAATTAATTGTTTGCGAACAATGAATTTAGATGCATGATTATTTGATTTTAGGTTTTAATTATATAATTTAAGAACGAGCGTTATACTATGGCCGATCTGAAAACCACCGTTACGGACTTAAAGTAGCAGTCAAAATCAAAGCTCGAATAGCAGACCTGAAAAAGCCTGTTTACACGTGTATATGACTATTTTAAATGTTTCTTCCGAGTTTCTTATGCTTTTACCTGCTTTTGCTTCAGCAAGGATTTATCGTTATGCTGGCATTTAGATAAGTTATTATTTATTTATTTATTTACTATCTACAATAGAATTTTCCCGCGGTTTCTTCGTTCCGATGCAACGACGGAATTCTCATACCAACCTAACTGGGGGGGTCGCGATTCAATCCACGTTGGGTGTACAATCATATCTATTTAACCCTTTGCGGCATAGTGGTAAGTACTTACCACCTTTTTGAAATGAGATTTTCATGTATGAAGGGCTCTAATAAATCGTTGCTCACGGGGATTTTTAATATTTTATCCTTCTAATATGTTAATGAATGTATAACTATATCAAATTATCGATTTTTAGTCGCCATTTTTTAAAAAATGGCTGAAAAGTGCACCAAAATGACGATTTTTTAGAAAAAAAATGTGTGCCGCAAAGGGTTAAAAATGTTCTTATTTGTAATTATAAAGCATTAAAAATATTTCTTTTTTACTTGGAAATACTTTATAACATTTAATCTATTGAATGAATATAAAAATTATTTTTCAAATATAGTTTGTAACGAGCGGGCTTGTTAAGAAATAGATGAGCGATTTTGAAATAGCGCGCCATGCGCAGAAGACCCGCGCAGCGAGAGAGAGAGAGAGAGAGAAAGAGAGAGAGAGAGAAAGAGAGAGAGAGAGAGAGAAATAGCTAAAACACGCGGGCTAAAGGAATTGAGTGGAGACGGACAAGGAGATCGCACGCGCACGAAATCCTTTTGGTGGCTTTTCGAAAAACCGAGCGTGGAATCGATCCTGTGGAGTGAAATTGAGTGACTGTGAGGAGGCTGTAGAAAGCTGACAATAAGATTGAGAAACTGTGAGGTGCGAGTGCTGGGAGTGTTGGAAATACTCGACAACGATCGACGAGTAAGGGCGACCGAACGAAGGCTGTCACCCGAGTCGAGAGATCCGACACGTCGCCCATCACCCACAAGGACCGACCCGTAGGCCATCTAACCTCGACGACCCTGGGCGACGATATTCGAACAACCAGGCTCGGGAATTAAGGCGTAGCTGTCTGCAGCAGCGTTCGCCCGCGTAAGTTTTCTTCTTTGTTTCGGTATTGCGAGCGAGAATCCCGGGAAGCGAGCGCATGTAAACAGCGTCGGCTGCATGTTATTCGAAATTGTATTTTCCGTCTCTCTCTCACGCGTACGTACGATTAGGCTACGTATCGCGAATCTCTCGGCCAACGTAAATAGTCGCGCCAATATAGATACAAGGAGTGAATAAATTCGGCAGAGATATACTAATAAGCCGGCATATTCATTCGCTAGACCCGAATATTCTCTATGTTCCCTTTTCCTCCGCACCGTTTTCTAGGAATCTTCGACCATTGCTTTTCTTTATTGTTTCGTGCTTTCGCGCTCGTTATCAGGTTGCGCGGCAAGCACAGAGCTAGCCAGACGAGGAAAACAGCGAGCAGCGGTGATACATCGATTTTGTTAACGGACGACGATTTAACATTAAATAAATCACCAACCGTTACAAGTTTATATGCTTGAATATTTTTCACTTGAATAGAATAGTAATCTAATACTTAAAATATTGTTGATACTAAACTTAAAAATCTTTAAAGTATAGTATTTGAAGAATTATCAAGATACATTAAATACATTAGTATATTAATATACATAGATAAAGAAAAGAAAATAAAGTGGTATTAAAATATCAATATTTAATGTCAAAAATTTTATTACACTATGAATAAATTTATTGATTTGTATTTACTAAAAAATATCTATGTACTGGAAATAGTCTTTTAATGTATCTATTGTTGATAAATTTTACCAATATACTATATTTATTTTTTATAATGTAGAAATTCAATATATCATGGATGATCAACAAGGTTCTCTATCAGATAATACAGAATTTCATATAAATAAAGTTTTTGAAGCTATAACTGTAGATTTAAAAAATAAAACTGGATCTTTTGTTCAGTTTGGATTATCAAATCAACAAAATCAGTCTTGTGGCTGGACTGATTATCCTCCATGTCACGTACAGTATATACATGATTTATCTACACAATCAAACATATCTACTATTTCATCTATTACTGAAATACCATCACCGCTTTTACACCAAGGTATTAAAAAATACAGATTATCCAGTGCAGTGTATTTGTATTCCATATCAAAATACGAGTCATTTGGAAATAAATGCAAATAATGATTTAATTTGTTTAATAGATATTGGAGGTGGTAATTTTATAAATATCGTTTATGTAAATAATACTCAATTTATAGCTGAACAATGTCAATCCAGTAGTTCATCATCTTATAAAAATACTTCAAATATTGATCATGACTATGGATTCTCCAATAATCAACTAATTCAGGTGTTTTAGTTATAAGTAGATGTAGAGTATAGTCAAGTTATTTTTTTATATTTTTAGTTATAATTGTATTTCTCTATATTTTTATATTGATTTTCACTTGTTTAATTATATTTTTAATAGAACAAAGCATCAAAAAATATTATAAATAAGTTTAAGAAATGAGGTATAATTTTGGAAATTATGTAAGATTTTAATGTTTGTGATTTTTCATGAGTCTTAGTTATAAAATCTCAAACAAGATCAAGATTTTTCAAAATCATTTACCCATGGAATACTATAACTTACTGAAAATATGATTTCCCTTAATAGGTTATGTTTCTTAAAATTATCTGAGAAATCATAATATCTCTGAAATATATTTTTTAATCAAGAAATTTTCATCCTAGATTGTTCTGTACATTTATAGTAAATAAATTAAAAACATTTTAATTTATTGCTTATTAAAATCATTATGTGGTTATAATGGATTTCATTATTGTGATCGACAACAAACTATAACGAACTATAAAATATATTCAAGTTACAATTAGGTACTCCTTTTTTGCTATTTTTAGCCTTTAATTGCAAATGAAAAAAATTACAAAAATAATAATATAAAGTGCATTTAAAAATAAAATTTAAATGTTTTTCTAATAACAATAATGTTTCGATGAGCAATCTAAAGTTACCTCAAAAATTAAATGCAGTATTGAAATATTGTTTATCAATTATTAATCAATTAAATGTTAGATATTTGTAAAATGTAATTATTTGCAGGTACCTCTATCTACTGGTACTTCTTTAACTCAAAAGTCTAATAGAAAACAGTTGATAGACAATCTTTCACAAAACTTGGTGCCTAATATATCTGGAACCTATATACCACTTGGTGGGTCATCTAATGTGACTATAGTACAACAGTTAATACCAGAATTCAAACGATTTCAAAAACTACCAAAAAACTTATTAAAGACACAGCTAAAAACAATTTCAGAAGTTATACCGTTGAGACTTTCTTATTCAGATGTATTATCAAAGTCAATTCTTACTTCTTCTTTTCTGACAATAGCAGCATTAAAACCAATACAAGAGAATTCAATGAAGAAAGTTATAGGTAAAAATTTGAAAAATAAAAGCAGAACAGTAGTTTTGAAATATCAAAATTTGTCTGTTAGTGAACATGGTTCACCAAAATTTGAATTACCAAAAACATTGGTTAAAAAAGTTAATTCCAATTTATTAAGACATTGTATCTCATTAAATGATATAAGATCTTTAAATAGATCTGCAAATGTAACTTGTGATATGTTTAATAATTTTGAGAAAAAAGAAGATTTGAAGTTTTTGAAAAGAAATGATAAAGCCGAAACATTAAATAATTCTAACATTCAGAATAATAGTACAAAAAGAATAAATCGTTTACAAAGATGTCCAATTCAAATAAACAATAATTTATATATGATAAATAGCTTTAGTAAAACTGTTTGTATAAACAACAAAATAGAAACTATTAAATTGCAACAAATGAAGAATCAACAAAATCGAAAAAAAGATAGCAATGCCACAACTTTTAGGGATATGTCTAAAACTTTTTATAAATATTATAATCATTGGAGTCAAATAATTTTCAAAATATTATTTTGGCTTCTGTATTTGATCTGTAATGTTTTTATTATAAGTGTAAATCTTATGGTCCAACTGTAAGTATAAACAATTTTCGTATAATAAAAAAAAATAGTTGATAATATAGTATTGAATTTATTAAAAATAATTATTAAATATTCAGTAGGAAACATTGCTTGTATAATTTTACTGTGTATGTAAAATACTTATGGATCTATATGTTGTCCAAAATTTCACAAATTCATTTTCTAAATAATTTTACAAAATGGATATATGTCTGGTTTGGTAATAAGTTTGCATTTTGGAAACGTCTGAAAACAGAAAATAAAACAGATAGATGTACAAATTTAATAGGAGGATTAGATACTAACATTATCCTGCCAACTACTGGTGAAGAAGCTATGAAAAGATTATTAGCTTGTAAAGGAAAAGATCCATACAGTATATTAGGAGTTACTCCAACTTGTTCTGATGATGACGTTAAAAAATATTATAAAAGACAAGCTTTTTTAGTTCACCCTGATAAAAACAATCAACCTGGTGCAGAAGAGGCTTTCAAAATTTTGGTTCATGCATTTGATATAATAGGAGAACCAGTAAGAACTGACAATACCAAATTTATTTAATTCAGTAACTTAACAATGGCCATCATTAAATAAGTTTACCCTGCAGGAGCAAAGACAGGTCTTTGATCAAACAAGACAAGTTGAAGCTACTTGGGGCGAATTAAATGACTTGATTTGTCAGTTGCATAAAAAAATGGAGCAAGCAGCTAATACAATACATTGTACCAATTGTGGATTACGACATAAACGTATCCTAACTCAACGTCCTTGCTATGCTGCACGTTATTGTGTTCAGTGTCAAATTCGACACAGTGTAAGAGAGGTATTTATACAAGTTTATTTATACTTAAAGTTTATTCAAACTGTATTCTCATATTTATTTCGTTATTATTTTTAAAAAAAATCTATCAAAATCAGACTCCAATATGTTACTAACGTGGATTAGTAATATTATTATATTACAATTGGAAGTCGATAGGATAACACTATATTTCAAAAATTAATGTTGATCAATTTCGGAGAAAATTTACACAGGAGCTACTTAACCCGTTTGGCCTAAGAACATCCATCCCGGTACACCGCTCTTTCTACAATCATAACTCGTGCAATTCAACGTATAAATTATTGGAAGATACAATATTTTGAAACTAAAAATCTCCGATTTTCAATGTTGTACAGGAAAATGCGATCAAAAGTTGTTAATTATGACAAGTTGTTTAAATAAACAGAAACACGATTTTTTCAATATTTTTTTTATAAAATCAAGCTTTCCGAATGATTCTCAGTTTATAATCCGATTGAAATCTCAATAACTGGTGGGATACATGTTGAAGCTTTTTCGACACTCCGTGCGGAAAGTGCGGTTTTTCCGCACGCTCGGCAAAAAACGTGCGTTAAAAATCGCACTTTCCACACGTATAAAAAAATACGGTACGGCACATGTTCGGGAAAGAGTTTCTCGTCTCGCTTTCTCTTGGTGAAAATAAGAGAAAAAACAAAACAGCTCTTGAATGGTTGAGTTGAGAAGTTACAGACTTAAAAACAGGAGTGAGAATAATCCATGACTGCCACTGATCACTTAATTATTTGACTGGAAAAATCTTTGGAACGTCCACTTGGAAAAGTTTCAGGAAAAGCAACTGGAATGTCCTCTGGAAAGGCCACTAGAAATATCTCTAAAAACTCTCTTACAAGGGACCATTCTCAACCGTCCGCCTTCAATTTTGTTGCAATTGAGATATGTTATACTTTATAAAAAAATAAGAGACACGTATTTTTTTTATTGGCGGAAAAAGCTGTCTAGGGGGTAAAAACCACCCTCATTAGTCGACCCTAAAACCAGTAAAACTGCAGTAACTTTGGTTGTAATAAATCTTTTTTGATGAAACAAAATGGAAAAAATTTCTTACTTAAAAAACAACAAAACCGCATAGTTTTTGATTGGATTTTTTTTTGATTGGAAAAATCACAAAATTACCATAAAATTTAAAAAATAAATTTTCATCATAAAAATAATAAAGTAATATTGACCAGCTTCAGGGTTGGGTTTTTTTATTACTCAATATTACGAGGGTAAACCACCCCTCAACCCTACTATTGCTAAATAAATAGTTGCCAATCACCAATTTCTCTGGTTTTTCATTTGCTATGATGCTTAAAAATTGATGAGAGAATTATACTGTTGTTGTGCCAAAAAAGGAATTCGGGGTCTGGAAACCACCCTCAAAAGTCACCCCCAAAACCCTGTAACAGTAATATCTTCGGTATTTATGACTATTTTTCGACAAAAAATATTTGAAAAAATCTATATAAAAAAGAAACGTAACCATGCAGGTTTTATCACTAGAGGTTGCCAGCCCTACGTTGTACAGGGGTGAAACTGTATTTAGAGTATACATTTTTACCATCCGAATTCGAAAACGGATAAAAAAATTAAAAAAAAAACGAGATATCTTGTGAAAAATAATACCAATAAACCTAAAGCGTTATGGTATATGTCCTAAACACCCAGCGATTAACTCCATATGCATACCCCCTAATCAACTTCCTGATTAACCCCCTGATTAACCTCACTCGCATACCACCTGATCAACCTCAGCCCCTGATCAACCTCACTCGCATACCCCGTGATCAACCTTATCTCTTGATCAATCTCATTCGCATACCCTGTGATCAACCTCATCTCCTAATTAACTTTACTCGCATACCCCCCGATTAACCCCACTCATATACCCCTGAACACTCCCTCATTTACTTCATTCACCTACCATCTAAATACCCCTGATCAACTCCACTCGCGTAGCCACTGATTAACCCCACGGGGAATCTCCGATGGTTTCGATGAAAGAAAATGTATCCCTAATCTGTAAAGTGGATTTTGAAAGGTAGGAGTATAACTTTATGGTGTATGGTCCGTTTGTGGAAATAAAATTCATTCACGATGTCATATCACTTTGAATATAGGTAAAAATCTAGCTTAACAAATAACTTCAAGTCTTACTATAATATCCACAATCCCGTTTTTTACTGTTCATGTAGTTCTAACTGCAAAACTTGTTCTGTTCACTCAAGTTACGTATGTTACCGTATTCTGTCGACCTATTTTACTAAATAGGGAGAAACTGTTATGATAGAATTTCAATCTTGGTTTGCCTCCTTAACCGCAATTACATCGAATTTTAATCTTGGTTTGCGGCATTAACCCAATCAAACTGAATTTTAATGTTTATTCACCATATTGACCGCAATGATATACGGCACACACACACACACACACACACACACACACACACACACACACACACACACACACACACACACACACACACACACACACATACACACACACACACAGGGTGTCCCCGACCATCCGTCACCTCTTATAGATTTTCAAAACCGCATTTTCAGAAAATATGAAACATACAAAATTACAGTAAATCAGTCATGGATTTTAGCGGTGACCTTTAATTTGACATCGGAAATGATTTTCAAGGACATCTCAAGGTCAACTTGGTTTTTTTTAAATAAGAACCCCTACTTTTGACGTTGAATTATTAAAGAGCACGAAATTTTGAGTTAAACTCCAAATTCTTCTACAATAACCCCAAAATTATTTTCGAAGTGTTTGAATCAACTGAAATGAATTCAGTTTTAATTTTTTAGAGGAAAACAGAGAGAATGGAATTGGACTTAATAACTTCAATAACTTGTGATTACATAACAGAAATTTTTTATTTTATAATCAACCAAATAATAATTGAATTATTTTTATTCAATTTGTATTTCTTTAAATAAATAAATTAATCAATAAAAATTTTAATAAATAAATAAGTCAATTTTATTGTACATACAATAGTTCATACTTTCATTTCCGAATAATTGTAATAATTCTTAATAATTCGTATCTTTATAATTTGCTTAAAATTTTTTTTATTTGATATGTTCAAATTGAGCTCCACTATGCAAGCTCGTACTCGTTTCGGAAAGGAGTCATCTGCTCGAAGAATTTTGTCAACTGAAAGGGATTAAACAGCTTCCATAATCTTAACGATCATATTTGCTCTAGTTGTAGGTCTTTCTTGGTATACTATATTTTTTATCCTGCCCCATAAATAATCTAGAATAGTCAAGTCTGGTGAGCGAGGTGGATAATTAACTGGCCTATATTTACCAATCCATCTCCTGCGAAAGATTCTATTCAGTTCGATTCGGACGTTTCTCTCTGTATGAGCTGGACAACCGTCCTGCTGGATCCACAGTCGCTGACGTATGTCAAGCGGAACATCTTCCAATAAATGTGGCAGGTCGTTCTGTAGCAGTTGTAAATACCTGAACTGATTCATATTCCTATCCAGAAAAATTAGACCGATAACACCACATCAGATATTGACTTTCCACTTGTGTCGGTGATCCACCTCTCTTAACCAATGAGGATTCATATCACACCAATAACGGAAGTTCCAATTACTCACTTCATAATCACAGTGGAATGTGCACTCATCCGAAAATAGAATATCTCGATGAAAATTACGGAGCTGTTCTCCAATCCAATTGCAAAATGCTAGTCTTTGTCTGTGGTCATCCTGACTTAAGGTTTGATGAAGCTGCATCCGGTAACCATGAAACTTGTTTTCCTTAAAAATTCGCTGAATTGAGTTTCTCAATATTCCAGAATCTTTATCTCGCCGTCTTAAACTGTTCTGGGGTATAACAGAAGCATATGCAATGATATCGGCAGATTTCATATCACGAATTCTTCTGCGAATTTGTCTGCCCTTATTATGATGTGGTTGTACCAAACCTTTCTTACGAACGCGTTTACATAATCTGAAAAATACTTTCCGTGAATGAGGAAAATTTTTTGGGAAGCGCTGTCGCCACAATTGCTCAACTGCAGAAAAAACATTCCCACACTCTCCCAGTGTTCGGAATGAGCCTCTGCGAAGCCGCCACTTTTTGAGTTCACGTGTGAAATAGCCCCTGTTTGCGAAGCCGCCACATTTTGAGCTCTCTCCAAAATTTTAAATTTCTTATAGTGTCGTATTTCACGGTCGTAAAATAATTAAGCGTTGCTACTCTCAATATCTTTGCATCTCCTTTTCTTCAGCGCTTAAAATTAGAACGAGTTATTAGATTAAGTTTGCTGATTAGGTAGAAGCGACGGTACCAACGATCGGTTGATTCCCGGCGCCTCTCCCTTTTTTCTTTGCTCGAAGCTCGAGAAAATGAGCATGGGCGTAAAAGCGTCACCATGGCCGTGAAGCCGCCAGCTCCAAGAGTTTGGCTCTTGGAGGCTGTAAGACCTCGCGAGAAGCGCCGCTTCTGGGTATTGAAGGTCATCTGATACGGAAAAAGCAGCGGATAAGCTGTCTTTGGGTCGGTAGGCTGCAGAGCAAGAGAGCAAAGAGAAGAGAGGGCGAACTCTTAGTCTGACAACAGTGTAAATGCGTGCGCATCGGATTTGAAAGGTTGAGGAGCATCTGTAAGGGAAGAGGAACTGTTGAGCTGTCGCTTGACGGCGAAATTTTCCTTCGCTCACTCTTACTCTATCTGTAGTCGAGCGAACACTAGTTTTTAAAACTGTATTTAACTCTCTGTTTCAAATTGTCGTTCATAGCGTGCGTTGTTCTTTCTTGAAAATTTGTGAACTGCGATTTATATTTGGCCATTAGATTTAATCAGGCTTTTCCCGGTTCAAGAACGGGGTATTCTTTTTTATTTTTTTATGTCGCATATTCTTTCATTTGTCATCTTAATAATAATAATAAAACAGAACTATAACCTGAACTTTGATTGAATTATTATTTCTGCTCAATTCCCAAC